AATTATTATTTTAAAATGTTTCTGAAACTGTTTCTTAAAAATGACCCATGAACATATGATACTTTCCCATTTATTTAGACCTTTATTTTCTTTGAGCAGTGTTGTGATTTTCAGAATAGAAGTTTTATACTTCTCTTGTTACATGTATTTTTCAGTCAATTTATTTCTCAGTGTTTCATTTCTTTGATGCCATGAAATGGCAAATGAATTACTTTCTAAATTTCATTTTAAAATGGCTTATGATTTTTATAAGGATCTTTACATCCTTATTTATTTGTCTTCTCTGTATCAGTCTGTGAACATCTTAAGGACAGTTGTTATGTTTCATTCATCTCCATGTCTCACTGGCTGCTCACCAAAATACGTGCCTGTTTTTGCTTTCAGTAGCGTATGAATTATAAATCAACACCATAAATTTTAGAACTTGTTTCAAGTAGTTGAGAAAACACTTTTTTCTTGAAGATATATTTCTTTGGAAATACTGTAATTCAAAAATCAAATAGAAGTATCTACCCACTTTTTCTGTGACACATCATGCTTCTAGTACTGCTAATGTGTTCTCTACCTTAGGTAATGATATAAGCATTTACCCAGCCATCCCATCCCGAAAACATAGACTCATTCCTAGTACCTTCACTCCTTCACCTCATCCATCTTCAAATCTTACAGTCTAGGATATTTCTTTAAAGCCTATGTAAATCATCACTCTGCTTACTCATCAGCTATCACTGGGACCTCTTCCACGGCTTTCCATGGCCCCTGGCTGACCTCCCAGCCTCTGGCGTGATTTATTCTCTTTACTAACATTGAAGTTATCTTTCCCAATTCAAACTTGGTATTATGTCTAGAAAAAATCATTGATTAATTTAGAATCTTTCTTGGCCTGCCTATGGGGACTGTTGACTGTCTGTTCTTTCCAAATTGATTTATTGATTCAATGGAATTGCAATCAAAATCCAGAAAGATATATGGTGGATATGTACAATCTCATTTTAAACTTTATATAGAATGTCAGACGATTGAGATCACCACCGCAGTATTAAAGGAGAGCAAGAACAGCGGGTTGACACTGCCCAAATTTAAATTTATTATGAAGCTGGAGTAATGAAAACACTGATATTGATGAAAGATGCACTGATCATAGGGATAAATAGAGGCTGAAAAATATACCCAGGCCAATATAATTAACTGATGTTTGCCAAAAAATCAAAGTCAGTTCAGTGGAGGAATGATAGTGTTTTAAATAAGTCATGGTGAGAGAACTTAACATACACATACAAAGCAAAGTAGGTGTAGTTCTCACAAAAGTTGACCAAGATGGATTATAGATCTAAATACAAAACCCAAAACTGTAGACTCTACAGAACATAATGTAGAAAAAAGTCAAAGTGACATTGGACTTGCAAATGATTTTTTAGATACAAACCAAATAGCAAAATCTATTTAAGAAAAAATTAATTGGTCTTCATTAGTAACATGCTGCTCTGAATCACTGGAAGTAGAATGAAAAAAAAAGGATAGAGAATTGGAGAAAGAATTTGTAAAACATATATGTGACAAAGAATCTGTATTGAAAATATCCAAGGATCTGTTATACTAAAACAATTATAATAAAATAATTCAATGAAAATGGTCAAAAGATCTGAATAAATTTCTTCCCCAAAAAGATATATAAATAACAAATAAGCGAATGAGAAAACAATCTCACTTCACTAGGAAACTGTAAATTACAACAGTGAGCTAACACAACTATGAGAATGTCTAAAATCTAAAACATGACAATCCTAGATTCTAGCAAGAAAGTAGAGCAACAGAAATAATCATTGCTGGTGGGAATGCGAAATGGTGCCGTCATTTTCTAAAAGTTTGACAGTTCTTTGCAAAGCTAAATATAGTCAATTATTTAATATAGTAACTGTGCTCTTAAGTTTTTACTCAAATGATTGGAAAACTTACACACTCAAACTTGCTCACTTATGTTCATAGAAACTTTATTCTTTTTTTCTGTGTTTGGCTTCCTCATGCTCTATCTTTGCTGTTTCCTTTTATTAGTACACGTTGGCAGTACGTGATCTTTACATCGATCGTGGGGAGTGGGTACGTGTACATGATACAGCTTGTTTCTTTTTTTTTGTCCCCTTGCCCTGACCACCTCGGTCCCTCTGCTTCGAACTCCTCTTTCCCATTTTCATTCTTGTTATTATAATTCCTAGCTCATGTTTGTGACATTTATTCTTAATTCCCAAACAGGAGAAACATCGCAGGTATGTATGTCATTATTTTCATGTTTTGAAGAGGGTTGCTGGGCTGAAATGGCAGATGGAAACATACATAAATGATGTCAAGTGGAAAGTTTAAATTTAACAGAAGCATAAAAGAGAAACTCAGAGCAAGGAGAAGGTACTTCTTTATCCCCGAAGTCTTTGAAAAGTCACACCCACGGAACGGGGAGAACGTCCCAAGAACCTGCAGAGGAGAGAGCACCCCATAAAACGTCCTTGGCACAGTGGACTGAATAATGGTGCTGGAAAGGGATTCTGCCTGGCGCCTCTGAATATGACCTCACTTGGGGAGAGGGTCTCTCTGTTTAATAATGAGTCTTCAGAGGAGGTCATCCTGGATTAGGTGGATCCCAAATTCAGTAACAAACGCTGTGAGAAGGGAAGAGCAGGGGAGAGCTGCAAAGGAAAAGCTCCTGTGGAGTCAGAGGCCGGGCTTGGAGTTACAGACAGAAGTCCAAGAGTGCAGTGGCTGCTACCAACAGCCTCCACAGGCTAAGAGTGAGGCATCGAACAGGCTTTCCCTCCGAGCTCCCAGGAGGAAGCAGCTCTGCCAACACTTCGGTTTTGGACTTCGGGCTGCCAGATCTGAAATGAATGTCTGTTGTTTTAAGACATGTTTGTGGGGATATTACAGTCAGCCACAGGAAATTCACACAGATGGTGACAAAAATGGACAGTAGCCTGAAAAAGTGCCTCACACTCTCCTGAGGCAGGAGGAGTGAAAGTGTCTGCTGAGATGCCAGTGCACTGGGCTAGAGCCTCTCTGAGTACGATGTCCTCTCTCTGAGGCGAGGCATTCTCAGCTGGCGGGCGGAACGCAAAGGCCAGGCGATCACCGGCTCATGATCGGCTCTCTACACCCAGTGCATGCTGTAATAAAAACAAGTTGTTAAAGAAAGAGCTCAGTATTGACGAAATTGCCTGGTGTCGGTGCTGGGGGAGGCTGTGCATGTTTTCGGACGGGGCATCTGCAGGAAATCTCTTTACCTTCCTCTCAGTTTGTTCTGAATGGAAAACTGCTCTAAAAATATTCTGGAGAGAGTCATTCTTTGTCCCACATTGTCCATGGCTCTCCACTCCCCAGGGCAGCACCAGTGCTGCATGTCCCTTTCCAGAGATGCTCTGCAAAGTCCCCAGCCTTTCTAAAGGCAGGCAGAACTCATAATAGTCTGGCCTCATCTAGCAAAAATCCAAACAGCTCAAAAAGACAAAAGACTTGAATGGACATTTCTCAAAACAAGACATACAGATTGCCAACAACTGTATGAAAACAATGTTAAATATCAGTCAGCATGAGGGAGGTGCAGATCAAAGCCACAATGGATGCCGCTTCACTCCCATCACAATGGCTCTTATAACAAGGAAAAAAGCAAGTGTTGAAGAGGATGTGGAGAAGAGTTACACTCAGCACACTGTCCTTTGGGTTGTAAATTAGTACAGCCATTTTAGAAAACAATGTGGCACTTTCTTTAAACATTAAAGCTACAAGCATTATAGATTCCGTCAATCCCACTACAAGGCATACATCTTCAAAAAAAGAAATTAGCAAGTTGAATATGTAACTGCAGTTCCATAGTTATTACATCATTATTCACTGAAGCCAAGAAATAGGATCAAACTAAGTTCCATCAATAAATAAACCGATAAACTGTGGTACAGATGCGCAGTGGACGCTATCTGACTGTAACAGGAGCAAAATCTTACTTGTGACAATGTGGATGAGCTTAGGAGAATAACTTTGACACGGAATAGCAGCAAACAGAAGTGCTGGGAAGACGGTGGCCAAAGGGTTACAGTTACAGGTAGAAAAGAGAAAGAAGTTTAAGAGGTCTGTTGTTGGCAAAGTGATTACTGTTCTTGACAGTGCACCATATTGAAAAATTTAAAGAGAGCGAATGTTATGTGCTGTCATCACAAAAATAACTATGGGAGGTAATGTATTTGTTAATGAGCTAGAGTTAATCTTAGCACAAGTGTATTTTCTTCAGAACATCATGTTGTACATGATAAATGTTATCTGTCAAACTTTTTTAAAAATTCGAAAGTTCTGAGAAGAGGTGTTCATAGTGAGATGACACCATAAGACCTGGATTCAGGGGTCCACACTGTGCGCTTCACTTTAAGATGCAAACCACACGACAGCCGTACAGATATATCCACGCGAAGTAGATTTGACTACGAAAGAGTCCATTCTGGTAGGAGCAATTAAAATATCCATGAATACCACCATAGTTCTTTAAAGTACAAGGGGAGTCCATGAAAAATGAGATTGTAAAAACAGAATGAGATGGAAAAGGATAGCATACCGCCAAGGAGACAAACTGAAATCTAAAAATATACCCTCCTCTTGTGTTAGACCTGGCAAATTCATTACAAGTAATTTGAAGGATAAAAGTTAAATAAAAGATTTTCTGTAGTCACTGAAATGCAAAGTAAAAAGACAAAAAATACTTACCGAAGCAATAATAAAGGAGAAACAACAATACATCAGTTTGCCAAGCTGTTCTTGCAAAAGGGAACTCATCAAATAGAAGAGTAAAATAGCTTGTTGTTCCTACTAAGTGAAGAAAAAAAAGAAATTCGCAGGAAAAATGCATCTCGTGAAGTATGAAAGATGATATAGAATAATTGTAAGATACAGCTTGGTAAAATGACTTCACTCAGGATGAAGAAAGAGCACTGCTGTTAGAGAAGGCAAGCTATTTGGGGGAGAATGAAAGTGCTTCAGATTTTCCACATCTAAGTGCCCTGAAATGTTTACGAATTCTGAGGAAAACAGACTGTGACCAAGTTTTATATCTAGCACAATCGTTCAGATACGATCTGAAAGGCAGAAGATGATGCGTGTCAGAATGCATGGGAAATAACGCTCACAAGGGAGGGATTGAGGGAAAGGGGAGGAAGGGAGGCACGGAGGGAAGGAACGCGGGAAGGTAGAAGGCAGAAATCCTGCTAGACATAAAACCCAACCAAGAAAGAGAGATACATAACCACAGCAAGGGTCCATTAATGAGCATAAAGCCCACTTCTAGAATTACAGTGGTCTCTTCTTCCTGCCATGTATGAGGTACGATCAAAGTACACAGTGAATATTTAAATTTTTCAAAAAAATAGTTATAATATAAAACAGTGCTACTAATTCTCCTCGGAACACTTGCTTCAAACACACTTCCCCCGTCCCTCTTGCCGCTTTCTGAAGCAGTTCTGGAAGTCCTCTTTCATGAGTGTCTTCATGAGGTGTGATCAGAGACGGTGGGTGCTGCGGCTGAGTGCCATTTAACAGAAGGGCCGGGTCATAAAACCAGGACAGTGTCTCCTCATCAGCCTCGTTCAGCAGATAGCACGCCGTGCAGTTTCTGGCTGTGCCCCCAAATCAGAATAACCGTGAAAGGGAAATGCCTTGCATTGGTGCAGGGCATCGAGGTAGCCAGGGCAGTGCAGCTAGACACCCAGAGAACCGAAGTGCTCCGGAAAGCGGCAAGGCGGGCGGGATAGCCGTGTCGGAAGCCAGGAGTTTGTGTATGGGGGAATGTATTCTTCAACTTCAAGCATTGAGTGCATTTTTCAGTCATGCATATTCTTTTATTTTATTCACGGGAATTATTGCTATCTGAATTTTTTCATTTGTGAGAACAGATTCTCTGTCTTCTAAATCTCTGTAGAATGAGCATCTCAAATATTACACAGAACAGACCAGTCCCCTAAGTGTACGGTGGGGAGGTGAAAGAATGCTTGAAAATACTTCAATTCTATTTCTAAATTACAGTGTGGAGATGGAGATCTGCATGAGTGCCTGCCTTGGTCCTTTCTGGTTTTCGTCTGAGTGGAATGTGGTCAGGGGACATGAGATCAGGGTGGCAGTTGGATTCTGGTGGCGGCTGTCTTCCTGATCGCAGACTGTGGACTCTACCTTTCCTCACACGGTGGGAAGAGGATTAGAAAGCTTTACGGTCTCTCTTTCATAAAGGCATTAATTCCATCCATGACATCTTCACCTTCCTGACTTAATTAGTTCCAAAGGTCCCATGTCCTAATGTCATCAGATGGGGGAAATAAGGCCTCAGTACATGAATTGGGAAATAAGGCCCCAAGTTCATGTACTGAGGCCTTATTTCAGACCATAATAGTGACACTGTAAAATCTTTCAGTTTTCAGACCATAACAGTGGTTTCAGACCATAAGAGCGATGTTGTAAAATCATTACAGTTTTTACTACATTAATTATACCAGTGACTTCTCAAAACTACTTGTTTATGTGCTACCAATACAAACCCTTGACGTCTACCAGAGGCTGGGTCGGCAGTGTTTGGAGTTTTGCTCTCAGAGCACTCCCACGCTCGGCACTCTGCTCTCACCCTGCGTGACAGCCTGGTCTGCCAGAGTTCATTATATTGCTTTGCTGGACATCGCTTTTAGTAAATATTTGTCCTTTTTCTGACTGAAGCTATCCCAGGTCATCTCAGCAGAATCTTTGAATGCATTCAAATAGTACTTGGCTCCTCACATGGTCTCAATAAAATCCAACAAGTCCTGGACGTACATCAGTTTATAAAGTTCAGACAAGTAGTACGGCAGTTAGAAAGTAAAGTACATAAGCACTGGTGATTGCACATTCACACTTGGTGCCTTTGCTAATTTCTGAATAGATTACCACTTTTAGGCTAATATACAACCGTTCCTGCATATTAGCCTTGAGACTGATTGGCGATTGAAATACACTGAAATGATCAGCAAGCAGAAGATGATAGGTTTGTAATCAATTTTTGCAGATCACTATAAATCTCAACTTCTGTTCCTTAGTAGTTCAGGGAAGTAAACGTTGATGAAACTCGTGCTAATTGTAACATGCCAATTCAGAGATGAGTATGTTCTACTCTCCAGGAACTCTACCGACTAAGGGGAGATGTAGAGTATGAATATGACACCAAAAGATGAATAGATTTTAACAAGGCAAAAATTAAGGACAGAATTCCATTTTATCAGAAAGGACTACTTTAGTCAAAACTTGGAATCTTGTACTTTCAATGAAATTTTGCATACGTTTATGAAATACCTCTTAGTAGTTGTATGCAAGTTGTTAAATAAGGTACACAAGCATGAAAACTGTTATATTGAGTCCTGAACCTGTGCCGTTCACAGTTTTTAAGGAAAGCTGGACTCTGAAGTAAAGATTGACAATACAGTGGGGTAATGATGCTGATTGTGATGAAAAATATTTAGAGAGCACAACTCACCCGGCCTGCAGTCTTGGCAGCTGTGTTTACACCAGTGACCCTGTCACTTGAATTCGGTAGAAAAAGAGTGAAATTTTGGAAGTTGGGGTTCCGTCAGGGTCAGATCTTGGCACCGTTCCCTGCCACGCTGAGGAATGTGAACCTGGTCTCCTAGCAGGATAATGGGGAGACACTGGAGGCTTTTTGACTCCAGTGGTAGAATTAGACAGGACCTTCAGAACGATCATTCACAGGGCTCACCTGAAATAAACGAGATGGGGGGCATTCAGAAGAAAAAGGTCATCTTAACATCCACATTTTAACCTAGATACTGCAGACTGATGATGCGCGCTGCCTTTAGAAAGCTGCACTAACATGTACAGGCGGCAACTGATGTCCTCTGAAAGTTTGGGAGCGTGTGACGAGTGATATTGTCATTGAATGAGTCATTTTTTATGACATGAAAATGCCATGAAACACTCGAACTTGGATAAAATGAAGTTCTTGCACTAAGATCGAGTAAATAAAACACAGCAAATAGTAACTGAACTGATGGAGTCCTTTAAAGGAATGGTGAGACTGAAATGGCCCTCCGCACCTAGAGAGGGAAACAGGTATCTTTCTGTGCTGGAGAACTGAGGTGAATGCTAAAGCTGCAACGTGACCATGAAATGTATCACTGTCACAAAGGAACATCTCTTTAAAATTCCTTTTTTACCTGGATATGGTGGTACATGCCTGTAATCCCATCACTCAGGAGGCTGAGGCAGGAAGATTGCCACAAGTTCGAGGCCAGCCTGAACTACATAGCAAGACAGTCTCAAACAAACAGACAAACAGAACTCTTTTTTTTAGAGGCGCCTATTTTTGTCAAGACTTGTAATATTCATACCTAGTCATCCTTTTACTAAGTCAGTGTCTTCATCTTTGAGGACAGTGATACGTCTAATACTCCTCTGCTTTCATAGCTATTTTATGAAAACCTCTACATGAGTAATCTTTGTTTTGAGCTTGCACCTATGTCAGCACTAACTGTGGCAAGGTTTTTTGAATTTGGCTTCTTTACCTATGGTCATAAGTGTGACTGTCAGACAGATAACTGACCCAGACATTGTGGGTGTGTCATCATGCTAATACTTGTGCTTCCATTGCTTTTCTGTTTATGGTAATTACTTAGGCGTGCTACTGCACTAATTCAGAGTCCATCACTGGTACTGACTGATAGAGGAAAATGTAATTTAAAGAGAGGAAAGTTTTCTGTGCACCATAGTAAACAGATATGTTTTAACCTGAAGATGAGAAACTTACAGTGTTATGTCACACGAACCTCAGTGTTCATAGGGAACCTGCTGCTTAGGAGCTGCGTTATACTGCATAAGCTAACTTTCTGTGCCTTTGTTTCCTTATTTCCAAAATGAGGCTGACGTTAATACCCATACTTCGAGGGGTTATTATAAGGATTAAATGAGCATATATTTATGGCTCATGGGCCAGTGCTTGGAATTTAGTAAGTATTCAATAAATGACGGGTTGTGTTACTCATCTTAGAAATACTATGTCTACATTATGCTTTCTAGATTTCCTGTGGTACATTCTTAATCAAAAGTGGCTGTAAATTGTTTGAATTACAAGAATGAAATTCTATTAAAATTAAACACAGAAGGTGATTTTACATTTATAGAATCCAGAAGTACAGTTTCAGAATTTTTACTTAGTCCTAGGTTTCTGAAATAGACGACTACACGGCACTCCAGTGGGCCTGAGCCCTGATCCTGCAGCACACCCTGCCGCTGCTGAGTGGCCTCCAGGTCACCTGGTAGAACCCCAGGACACCATGGGCTACTGTGTGTAACAAGCATTGCTTGTGTCCAACGTACTCATTTTATATTTGAGAAAGTTCAGGAAGAGGCTACATTAAGTTGGTACAGTGCTGTAGAAAGAACATTGTACCATAATGAAAACTACCGTCAGAGGCCTAGCTTTGTCATTTGGGATATGAGAGTTTGTGCAAGTCAGTTAATCATCACAGCCTCCCTTTCCTAATTTATAACTATAATTTGAACTTGCACAACCTCTGAGGTCTATCCCTACTATAAAATTATTCCATTTTGAGAGTGGACACAGCTGTCCAAAAACTCTAGTTCACTGTTCTTTCCATTGCACTGATGTAGGATTATAGTTTAGTTCGGAAGGTCCTGGGAACGGATGCCCTGCTTGTATTTTGGGATAACATTTCTACACACTCAGAACAGGACATGCATACTTTGGTGCGATGTGGCGTGGCTCCAACTACAGGTGGATATGCTGCCAGGTTTTCCATAATTATGCAGTGCCTGTATTTGACATGAACAGTATTATCTATGGAAATCTGCCAATGGCTGAATCATATAATTCCTGTAACACCGTCTCTTATCCTTAACCTTACATAACCACACCTTAACTAACACAAATTAAAGTAAAACCACATTGTGTATCTAAGGTACATTGGAGAGGCGTCTCACAAATAGCAAATACACATTCACTTCCAAGACAACGTGATCAAATGCATTTACAGTTTGATACCAAATACAAAATTTGTTCAAAAATCAAGATTTATCCACTTCCCTTTTGTGAGATCTTTGTTCTGTATTCTACACAGTTAGTATTTCCAATGAAATTTACCAATTACATGATTTTTCTTAACTTGAGCCTCACTGATAAATTTTATATAGGCATTTCTACAAGTTGAAACAAAATCGCAAGTGTATTTTTTAATTCTTCAGCATAAAAGCATTTTGAGAACACAACTGCATAATGATATTTATCTGATACATCATACCTGAAAATATAGTCATTTTCAATATCATATTTAGACTTGTTTTTCTTTTATTCATGGTGTTTTTCCCAGTAAATTATTATCAATACCAATTGTTAAAGCATTTAACTTTATACTTATGCTTCTGTTTCATGTAGAATAGAGACATTCAATATGCTCTTTTAGGAAACTAACGATCACATTTTTGTTTACTTGAAATTTTTGTTAGAGTTGTTAATAGGACTATATACTCACCGTAGAATTTCAGTAGAAAAGTTAATAGGAAATACTTTTGGGGTGTTAGGTTATTGCATTAAATATCATCTGTTTCATGCAAGTCAAAAAATATTTATTTATGGTCACACAAAGAAATAATGTTAAAGCCAAAAATTCCAGTGACTTCCCCTTCTGGGCCTGTTAAGTTAGCAACTTGGGTTAGCGAATGAAAATGAGCTAAGGGGCGTGGAGGTCGATAAGGCTCTACTGTCTTAATCTTTACAAATACTTGATATCCGTTAGCCTTCTCAAACCTCATCCATTAAGGGTGACTTACTATGAAGAATTCCAAAACAGACCAAGTAAACACAAGTCAGCTCGCAAATACCAGTATGTGTGTTTCTTCTTTCCTTATTGTTTGGTGGAAAATGTAGAGCACGGTTTACGTTTAAGGTTGATTACTTTCTGATTTGTTTCACAGTGACTGTTGCAAACGGAAAGAGGTCTGTGTACTTAATAAGATATTTCTAATTGGAGCAAATGCCGTCTTTCAGGTGGAATGCACCCCTTGTACATCTGCAGGGAGGCAAAGTTTTTATCAGAAGCCCTCCTCTGTCCCCTCTTCGTTCTTCCTCACACTCTATTCCCTCATAACCCACCTCTACCCACCACCTCTCCTGCAGGCAGGTGTTATTAGCAAATAAAGTAGAAGAATGCACACACGCATTGTATTAGCTTTCCCGATGCCGGACACAGTAACTGACACACACAGCTTACTGTAAGCAGGTTTTAAGTGGCTCCCATTTTCAGTCTGTGTTTGGCTGACTCCATCATGGGGGGAAGACACGGAAGGGCAGAGCTGCTCAGATCATGGCGGCCCAGGAGCAAAGCAGGAAACACTGCCAGAATGGACGAGGAACAGTGTGTAATACCCAAGGTAACACCACGATGCCCCAGCCAGACACACCCAGGGAGTGCTTGACGGATCTGCTGGACATTTATTAATCTAATGAAGTCGATATGGCAGGGTTAATGCTCACAATCTACCCCTCAACAATAACATACCCAAACACATCTCTTTAAGCCATACTTAGTCTACAAATAAAAAAGCAAGTTCATAATTCTGCCTAACATAATACTATACAACTACCCACACGATTGTAAATGCAATAATCTGACCCCCAGTGTCTTGCAATCCTAGCACCAGAAGTCCAATTCTAAGTCTCTTCTGGCCCTCAGCACAAACCCTTAGTGTGAATTCCTGCAAAAGTAAAAACAAGTTACAACTGAAATGTTTCATGGTAAGCATTCTGCTCCAAAATGGAGGAATGGGAGACAGAAAAGAATCAGACCAAAGTAAGACCAAAACCCATCAGGGCAAATACTAACTTCTGTAGCTCTATCTATGGTGTGCGGGACACATAGTGGTAGGATGTAAGTTTCAAAAGCTCGTATGGCCCTAGTCCTATGGCCATGCTGGTTGTAGCCCACAAGCCTCTTACTTGGGGTAGTTCCCCTCACAGCCTGCCACTTTCCTGCATGGATGTTCCACGTTGCTGGCATGTCCAACTTCCCAGAGTTTCCACTGGAATTTTGGCATCATTCCCACATACTCACACACTGACTTCTTGGAGGCTTCTTGCCTGGCCCCTCCAGGCTTTCCTCTGGAACCTCTGTAGAAGCTTCACTCACTTTACACCTCTTGCGTTCTTTATGCCAGTAAAGTGAATATCACACGGAGGATGTCGGTGTCTGCTGTCAGGAGGAGCAGTAGTCTTTGGACCTTGCCTACAGTGACCTCTGAATCCCTGAATGGTTGAGTGGAGTGAAGTGAATCTTGGGGCACTAATTCCCCAGTAGGAAGCCCAGGGATTCTCTTTTTGAGTGAAACGTTTACATTTTTTGCATGCTTGAGTCTGTGATAGATAGGGTTTTGCTTATTTCTGAGATGCCCTCAGAACATCTATCTTTGTGTCCCTGTACAAACTATTTGGTTTCACTTTAATGGTCTAATCTCTTTAGCACCCGGATTTCTTTTGGTTCCAACTTTACATGTGGTTCCTTCTGAGCTAAAATTTAAGTTTAAAACTTTTTTGTTCCTTTTGCCTCTGATTCTCACCATAAATCTAGATAAAAGCAGTCAGCAGTGTCCGTGTGACAGCTTAAATGTTAGGCTACACTGAAATGTTCTCTTCCAGATTTATTCGTCTATGGTCTTTATTCTCAGCCTCCTGCCGTCTAAGGACGTGGACAAAATGCAGACATATCTTCTGCCAGAGTGTAACACATATGGGCTTTAGTCCAACTGTCAATGGAGTCCTTGTTCCCAATAGAAACTTCCCAAGCCTGGTCCTTAGTGTCCACATTCCTACCAGCATTCTGGTCTTTCGAGCTCCCACCCGAATCTCCCACTGAGTTCTTCTTACAGCATTTTAAGGCTTCCCTAGCCTCGACCTCCAAACCTTTCTAACTTTCTCCCACAAAACAGTTCCAAAGGCTTCTAAACCACATAGGTACAGTCACAGTAATCACCCCACTTCTCCTGAACCAATTTTTGTATTAATCAACTTTTCTTTTGCTGGGCAGGATGCCTGACATCCACAATCTAAAAGAAAATTTGTTTTAATTGAGTCATTTTTCAATATGGGATGGGCTGGCTCCAACCCATCGACATCATGGGGGAAGGATGCGGAGGAGAAAAGTTGCTCAGTTCCTGGTGGTGGGAAGTAGAGCAGAGGAACGGTGACAGAGGAGAATGGATGATCATACACAGTACGCAGGGCCACACCTGAGCCTATCCAGATACACCCACAGAGCACCCTCACTAATCTTCTAAGCATTTCTTAATCCAGTGATGCTGACGCATCAGGGTGAATGGTCATAAACATACCCCTAACCAAGTGGTATTTATTGCAGGTATGTGAGACTCATTCAAATTCAGATATCAATGTTTGGTCATGTCAACAGGTTAATGAAAAATTGCATGCTCATGTCAATATATGAAAAAAGAGCTTTTGACCAAATACAATCTCAGTTTATAGTACAACCTCAACAATCTTGAACGGACATGAACTTTTTCAATACAATAAAAAAATCCTACAATTTACAGCTAAGATCAGCATTAATGGTGAGAAATTCAAAATTTTTCCACTAACAAAGCACAGATTTTCCCTTTCAGTGTTGTTTTCAACATATTATTGGAACATACAGTAAAATATGTGTAAGATCTATGTGAGAAAAACTAAAACTAAGAGATATCAAAAGAGATAAAAATAAATGAAGAAATACTCCATGTTCATGGATAAGGCAACTCCGTAGTATAAAAATGCTTGCTCTTTCCAACTACTTCTAGATTCATCACAACCCCAGTTAAAATCCCAGCAAGTTATTTTATAGGTGTTCAAAAACTGATACTGCAGATGGTGAGAGGAAAAACACTGAATAGCAAACAGTATTGAAAAAGAGAAACGTTAGACAGGTGAAGCTACCCAGCCTCAACACTTACTATAAATTTAATAGTGAAGATACTGTTTGTTTTGAAATTTTGTACCTTTTTTATTGTTTTTCCTCTTTAAAAGAAAGATAGTGTGGTATTTGGGGAAGAACATAAAATGACACAAAAATTATTGAATAGGTGTGGGTGAAATAACTAAAATGGTGAAGTAAATAAAAACACTTCAGTAAAGTAACACTCAGATTACTTTTCAAGTGTCTAAGAGTCCTGTCAAACTGAATGTAGAAATTATAGAGAATGCATCGTGAGCATTCATTCTTTTTTATTTTAAAGAAGAAGAAACAAAAACACGATAAACATGCAAACATAAGAACAAAATTCCAGGAAGATATGATAGGAGAGTAACAGTGGCCAGCACGTTGCTACGTTGTGCAGTTACCTTTGAATCGGTTACTGGGAGTCCGAGACGTCAGCATTTACACAGTGTCAGCACAGACCTATCTTTTCAGTGGACTGAGAGAAATCAGCAGCATCTCTATCTTAACTACTTTTTATATATACCTATATTATTTTTCTTCTTTTGCTTTTCTGTCCCTTCCCCTTTCCTATTCCCTTAAACCAGTTTCTTCTCCCTTTTGGAGTTTCTTCCCATTTTACAGTATCTATTGTACATTTTTTTTTATCACATTTACTCTTCCCGCTTCTCACAGTAGGGAGACAATAGGAGGTTTACACATGTGCATCTGGTTTATTTCACTTATGAGTGTGGTGGACTCAAGTTGCATACGTTTACCTATAAAAGTATCCAGTTTATCCATCTTTATAGCTCAGTAATACTCCACTATATAAAAAGACCACATCTTTTTTATCCATTCCTTGGTTGATGGACATTTGGGTTGTTTCCAAGATCTAGCTAGTACAAATTTTGCTGCTATAAACATGGGTGCACATACATCACTGTGGTGTGATATTTTTAGTTTTTCTGGGAAGATACCCAAAAGAGGAATAGCTGGGTCAAATGGGACCTCCAATGCTAGGTTTTTGAGGAATCTCCACACAGATTTCCTCAGTGGCTCGTGGGTAGGAAGAATCAATGTAGTAAAAATGGCCATACTTCCAAAACTATTACACAGATTTAATGCAATTCCAATCAAAATTCCAACAACATTTCTAACAGAATTAGAGAAAATACTCCTAAAATTCATTTGGAACCAGAAGAGACCTAGAATAGTAAAGGCAATTCTGGGCAACAAAACATGACAGGAGCCATCACAATCCCTGACTTGAAATTATATGACAAAGCTACTGTGATAAAATCAGCATGGCACTGGCAAAAAAGAAAAGACTCAAAAATTAATGGAACAGATTAGAAGATGTAGACACAACTCCAGACATACTCAACCACCTTACATTTGACAAAGAAGCCAAACACATACACTGGAAGAAAGATAGCTTCTTTAATAAATGGTGCTAGTTTATTCATTCTAAAAGAAAAAAATGATAGAAAACTCGAATCAATAAATTCATATTTAAAGAAAAATCCTTGGTCCCTCGCCTAGAGAACAGAAAATGTATGTACATTTACATATTTAATATTAGAAATAGCAAGATATGTATCTTTTTATTTTAACTAATACCTACCTTTATTTAATTAACTTTACTTTTTACAATGACCAGTTACAACCTGGCAAAACAGGTAAAAAACAAAAACCCTTGCACTTCTCAAGCTTCAAACACTGTTTTTTCTCTTTTCCTTTCACATAACCCAGGGTCCAAAAGTATCTTTCCTCTATTTTTTACTCCAAATGCACACACAAAGCATAACATCTTTCTTGCTCAGAAAAGTTTACATATATATGAGTCAGGATTCATGCATGTTTGTGGAGGTATTTTCCTTTTCAGTGTTACTTAAAAATAAGATCATGCTACACTCTTCAATTTTTGTTTATTTTTTTCATTTTGTATGGTGAATCTCATTCTAGGTCAAATACATCTAGAGTAAGATTTTTTAATATGACATGATACTGTACACTGTGTATTGCCACATCTGTTTTGCACTTGTTTTATTTATGAATAGACAATTATTTGCTCATACAATGTTATTATAGATATCTTTATACAAATATATGTGTATATAACTTTTTAAATGATGGTTCGCTTTCTATAGAAATGGTTGCTACAGTGAAATTGGATGAATAAGCTAGTATATCCATTTTTTGTTTTTTTTTTCTGTTACTGGTTTTTTTTGAACTGGGAATCAAACTCAGTACCTTGCACTTGCCAGGCAGGTGCTTTGCCACTGAGCTACATCCCCAACGTGGTACATTCATTTTTAAAGTGACTTCCACTAGCAATCGAGGGAACCTGTTATTTTGTTGTATTCTTGTCAGTATCAGATGCTATGAGCCTTTAACATTTTTATCAGTCTTGATATGTGAAACGTTA